CGTGCATCTGTGACGAACGTGCTTGACCTGGGATCTTCCTAACCCCTTCATGCCCATTGCCTGATACTTCTTTTTCATTGCTTTGTGACCTTTGCAAGTTCTTGACCCTGCATTCGCGACTTTTAAACACATTCCTATTATTTTTACGTCTCTTATTCACTTTTTGCATATTAAATTTTATTATCGCCGTTCCATTCGGGCCTAGATACTGGGCTAGATCGTGCCTGCACTGACTAGTTAATCTATTGACGTAACACACGCCCTCACATAAACGGGCACTGGAGACATGACCTTCGTTTTGACCTCTCAGGCCAGTTATATGAATGCACCACTGATCTGGACTGATGATAGTATATATTCTCTTTTGTGCATTCCATTCATGTAGTACCTCTCCTTGATTTGTATTCACTGACCTGTGTACATTAACGGACCGCTTTAAGTAACATGTGTCTTCTCTTGTTCTATTCTCTCCGCCTCCCCTATATTCTCTATTCACTCTGATCTCATCCACTTGCTCTGGAATTCGATGTTTGGTAAACTTTAATATCGTCTCATCGTGAACTGTTCCTTGAATTTCCTCTATCTCAAGGGCAAATAAGGTCTAGTCAAAAAGTGTGTAGAATTCTTTATCACGAAGATCACTGTTTTTTGCTAGTATTAACTGCATACTCGCCTTAACTCTTGAATTATTGGCTTGTATGTGATAGACCAAGTGTCATTTAAACTATTTATTCTGACAAAGTTGATCTGGGTTTTATCATGTTCTACTACTTTAGAATGGTTTGTTTTTCTAACTGGCCATAAGTTTCTACCTTAATCTCCGTAAGATTACAGAACCAGAATTTAATATCAATAACTTATACGGCACATAAGAATTTCAGTTGATGATATCACTGACAGAGTATTTTTGTCCGATTTTATTTTCCATTAACTTGTTCAAATCAAATTAAGATGAAAACGAATCAACAATAATACGACGCAATTGAAAACATTGGTATCCTCTTTTTCGAGTAAAATATCAATTCATCGGTTTATATTCTAGCTTTTAACATATTTTATTTTTACTCATGCATACCATGAATTTGATAGCCTCTAGAACTAAGCATCATACCTTTACTCATTGAAAAGAAAGGATTATTGGTATATAATCTACTTCAGGTTGATTTATTAGACTAAGCATCCTTAATGATTTTTCGATAAACTTCCAGCTCATCCTATTATTGTGGATCTTCTTCATTTACATACTTAATCTTTACTCTCGATTGACATTAAGATGCGAATTGGAAACCATCTTTTAAGACAAGATGGCTTGTAAATTTTGATTTTCTTAGCGACTTAGCTTTGATGTGTTCTCACTGAATATCTTTTATTTGAACGAGCTTTTACCTCTCAATCGAATATTATTATTGCCCATAATAGCCTTGAACCGATGTTCCATTTATGCTCAAATATGGACCATACCGGGGCCACATCATCTTGGTCTTCATATCTTCAAAATATGAACTGTTTATCAAGACCTCTGGCTTATTATATTGATTTTGAACCCTGATGTATTCAGGCTTAACTTTTTTCTTCTGATATGCAATTAACGAATTTTTGTTTGTTTGTGCTGTCGACTTTTTGCACCTAGATAAGATAGATATGGTGGCCCAACAAAGATGCGAAAACGAGGCCAGACCACCACCACATAACTAACAGTAAACCTTCGTAAGTAGGGTTCTTGGATAGTGTAGACACATCTCATATAACAATATACAGCTACACTATCATAGTATTCATACTTTTAATTAACAAGAATTCGTGCTACTGTTAGCACTTAGAGTTTAATTAATTTAAAATCAAAAGGGTTTTCATTCACAAGTAAAACTCAGGTATCAACGATTTTATTTTAATTCCTTACATTTATGGCTAGCTTTTTTCTTTTAACAGCGACCTTTGACTCGAAAAACCTGCTGAATTCAGAGTC